CAGGGAGGCTCCCTGCACTTAGCCAGAGTAACTAAGCCGGGGTGGTCTGTCAGGAGCTTCTCAAAGAACCTGGAATCTGGTAACACAGAAGCGATGGCCCAGGAAGGTACGAGGGTGAAACGTGGTGGTCAGACATTTAGCACTTTTATATGTTTTTGTGTATATGCTAGGAAAGCAGTGGGTGTTTATGATATTTTTATCTTGTACCTATTTCTTGAAGGGATAATTTACGATGAGAGGTGGAGGCACTGAGGCATGTGGCAGCAAGAAACGCCCAGCTCACAGCCAGCCAGCAGCAGCCCAGCCTGAGATGCAAACCCTATCCAGCTCCTCCCAGAGTCCAGGCTGAAACTACCACTGTACAGGAGAATGATGGCTACCAGGAGTGGCCACCAGGGCCTCTTGAGGCCAGGCTTGGCAAGGCAGAGGCACTGTAAATTCACTGCCCACCCAGCAAAAAGGACTGGACAGAAAGACTGGTGACAGGGAACTGCCAATAACCCACGGGAAGCCTCAGTTCACCCTGGGCCTCATCCAGCCCTGTTTCACCCAGAAGGCTCCCACCCTGTGGATGCTGTAGAAATAGCCTATGATAAAGAGGCCTAGACACTAATGTGGGGATGTGGTAGCCCCCACGTGGTAGAGGAATCTATGTCCATGACCATGGCCTTATAGCCCCGGATGAAGGTGCCAATGTTGGCTCTACGAAGCTCACTGCGCCAATGCATCTTATTGGTCAGCTGAAGCAGTGCAAGGCGTTGAGGGCTGCATCACTGTCTACCCTGAATCTACATGCCTCCCCAGTGCCCAGCCTAGAGCCTCCGGGAGGCATGGCACACTGAAAATTGAGCCTGGAAATACATCTGGGCGCCTGGACTCAGAATATGTGTACAGCCCCTTGGGTCCTCAGTCTCAGTAAGACAGTGACGACAGGTAAGGAGGAGGGGGATAGAGAAGACTACTGACTGGGCCCATCAGCAAAGGTATTCCTTGCTCAAAGCACTCTTTATTCCATCTGTCAGAGATTGTCACATATATGAATCTGCCCATCTGCCAGAGTAGTGCTTCCCTAAGAAAGAAGAAAGCGTGGTGTATACAGCTGTCTTGACTCTGCTTATTCCAAAAAGGGACTTTGAATTCTCCTGTCTCTGGTGCCAGCCGCCTCAGATGTTGGGAGGGAGAGGAAGAAGGCACAGAACAGTCCCTGCCATCGGGTCTATAAGTGAACTTGGGGAGCCCAACAGAGAGGAGGGATGGACGGACAGGGCTTCGGGAAGCAGTGCCAGCTTGCCACCAATGGTGAGCATGGAGTTTGTTTGGGAATGGGGCCTCCTGGCACTCACATTGAGGGTACCTCCAGGATGCTGAGCTGGCCCATGCCCAGATAGTAGATGGAGCTTTAGGATGAGCGCCACGATGAGGCTAATGCTGTAGCGCCTGGGTGAACAGGCCATGGAGGGGGTTGTGATGAGGATCCAGAACAGCAGTGAGATGGTGAGGGAGTCCAGCACGCCTGGGGGCCAGGGGGCAGGGTGAGAAGGGCCCCCAAGCCCACTACAGCCCCAGAGCAGGTCCACAGGTGCCAAAAGCCACCTCCTCCTGCAGCCTTCTTGGTTTTCCTGGTGCCTGCCTTAGCCTCCTCCACACCTGCCTCAGGCCCAAGCCGGGAGGCCTTTCCCAGCTGCGGCTACCAGGTCTTGCTCTGGCTGACATCCCGCATGTGCACGTGCACGCATGCGCCGATCTCCAGTGAGGTCAAAGACCCTGACCGTCCCTGACTCCTACCTGTGTCTCCGCGATGTGTGAGAGCCCACAGGATGGCGAACGGGGTGCTTTGCACACTCTGCATCTGGTCCCCTGAGAGGCCAGCTGGGCCTCACACCTGCCTCACCCCAGGAAGGAGGCATGTGGCAGGCCAGGAATCCGCCATGAAACTGTTCTCACTCTGTGACGCACTTCCGCGAGGGTGGGGCAGAAGAAGGTCATGATGTTGATAAACACGGCTAGGTTGAAGGAGATGCTTACCCACAGGACAAGTGGAGAACCAGTAGATCAGCCATGATTTGGAGGAGGGCAATAAGAAATGCTGGAGGCAGCCCTGGTGAGTACCCTCTCTGTCCCTTGCATGCGGACCCGCCAGAGGAAGCCACATGGAAGAGCGCTCTCGGGGTGGAAGGGGTGCGAGGCACCAGGCAGGCAGTGGGAGGCCATTATAACAGGGCAACAGTGAGCAGCTCCTGACCGTCTCCCACCCTCCCGCCCGCTGGTCTCACTGCAGACTTGCTGCCACTCCATCTCAAGCAGTGCAGAAGGAGACTGGGTCAAAGAAGCCGCCACTTTGCTGCCCTGGCCTGGCCCTGCCTGGCAGGTGAAGAGCCGGTGCTTGGTCTCTCCTTGTCAGGAACTGGCAGATGCCGGGCACTGGGAACACGATCTGCTCCATGCTGCGGTCCTGCCTTACAATCTGAGCACACAGCACGTGGTCACCCGGCCCAGGCCCCTGCCTACCCTGCTGCCCAAGTGTGCCTCACCCTGATCCGGGGATTGGTGGTTCCCGAGAAAATGTGGATCTTTCTTCTTCCAAGCAGATTTGAAGATTGAGTATCTAGGAGGAAGTGTTGTTGTTGGAGGCTGGCTGGATGGGGAGGGTGGAGTGAGGTTGGGATTTTAGTTTGTATATCTAGATCTGGCACCCAGCCCCAGCCTCCCATGGGGCCTTCCCCAGCCTGAACCACTTCAGCAGGCCCCAAGTCAGACCAGCCTGCCTCCCAACCAGGACTTAGCCCAACTGCATAAAGGAGTGCAAAGGGAGAGCAAAATAAAATAAAATAAAATAAAATAAAATAAAATAAAATAAAATAAAATAAAATGTAGGTAGGGCAAGAAGGAAAAGGTTTGGAGGAAGCAAAGTTTTGTACACATTGGATGGTCTTGGCTAAATACAGGACAGTAGAGATACACTGAGGCTTCCTTATGAAAAATGCAGATGGTGGGACAGCCTTTTGAGAACAAAAATCAGTTCACATGGTGATGTAGCTAGAGACATATAAGAGAAGACTTGGTAAAACAAACACATTTTAACAGGAGAAAATATTTTGAAATCACATAGCTGTCAAGGAATTAATATCTGGAATATACAAAGAACTCCTAAAACTCAATAACAACAACAACAACAAAAACCTGATGAAAAACAGGTAAAGGACTTGAACAGGTTTTTCTCTGAAGATATACAAATGGCTAAGCACATAAAAAGATACTCAATATCACTAATCATTAGAGAAACACAAGTCAAAGCTACACTGAGATACAGCTCTCACCCATTACGATGGTTACTATCAAAAAACCAGAAAATAACAAACGTTGGTAAGGATGTGGAGAAATTGGAACCCTTGTGCACTGGTGGTGGGAGTGTAAAATGGTGCAGCTGCTGTGGAAGACAGTATGGCAGTTCCTCAAAAAACTTAAAATAGAATTACCATATGATCCAGCAATTCCACTTCTGGGTATATACCAAAAGAGTTGAAAGCAAAGTCTTGAGATGTCTGTACATCCATGTTCATAGCAGCATTATTCACAAGAGCTAAAACATGGAGGCAACCTAAGTGTCTATCAATGGATGCATAAACAAAATGTAGCACATACATGCAATGGAGTATTACTCAGCCTTAAAAAGGAAGGAAATTCTGACATATACTACAAAATGAATGAACCTTGAGGTGAAGATATTATGCTAAGCAAAATAAGCCAGTCGCAGAAATATTGCAGGATTCCACTTACATGAGGTACCTAGAGTAGTCAAAATCATACAGACAAAATAGAACGGTCGTTGCCAGGGGCTGGGGGGAGAGGGGGGAATGGGGATTTATTGTTCAATGAGTATAGAGTTTCAGTTTTACAAGAGTTAGGGAGATGGTGTGATGGCTGCACAATATTATTCAGTGCTATTTCATACCTATGAACTGTACACTTAAAAATGGCTGGCCGGGCACCGTGGCTCACTCCTGTAATCCCAGCACTTTGGGAGGCTGAGGCAGGCGGATCACCTGAGGTCAGGAGTTCCAGACCAGTCTGGCCAACATGGCAAAACGCCATCCCTACTAAAAATACAAAACATAGCTGGGCATGGTGGCGGGCGCCTATAATCCCAGCTACTCCGGAGGCTGAGACAGGAGAATCACTTGAACCGGGGAGGCAGAGGTTGCGCCATTCACTGCACTCCAGTCTGGGTGACAGAGCAAGACTCTACCTCAAAAAAAAAAGGTTAAGGCCAGGTGTGGTGGCTCACACCTGTAATCCCAGCACTTTGGGAGGCCAAGGTGGGAGGATCACTTGAGCCCAGGAGTTTGAGACCAGCATGGGCCACACAGCAAGACCTTGTCTAAAACAAAATGGTTAAGATAGTAAATTTTGTTATGCGTATTTTACCACAATACAAAATTAATAAATTAAAAAAAAAAAAAAAAAAGTTTTTCTGAATCAACCCAGTTCGCATTCCTCATTCTAGAAAACCTGGGCCTCCCACAGAAAAATGTCTGACTTATGAGGGGTAGGAAGGGGGGAACAGAAGGGATACTAGCAGGGACTGGGCAGAGAGGAACAAGAACTAGGAAGCACTAAAGAAGGAACTGCGGCAGAGTACGAAGGGATAGTGACAGGTACAGGGACACACACGAACAACGTTCAAACACATCTTCATCCAGTAACCTGTATTTACACGCAAATGTATTGGTTTATGCAAAACAGCGGAGGCCTCGGAGGAGGGTTTTTTAGTCTCAAGCTTGTGCAGTCATTGAAAAAGAGAAGCAAAGCTGTCCCTGAGGTACTCCACGTCCGCCTTGCCCCTGGGAGCTGGGCCGGTTCCAGGAGGAGGACGACTAATTAGCTCGCTTTGCAGAGAAAGGCGAGCAGCGCCCCTACCCGGAGAGTAACTGGGCGCCTGCAAAGTCGCGCATGCCCACTTCGGCCTCCCGCCCCACTCCTAAGGCGGCGAGACTTAGTGCGCAAGTACCATCCATTGGCGGCGACTCCTCCCCCTAAGGCGGGAACACACGGGGCCCAAAATGGCGGCCAGCCGGTACCGGCGTTTTCTTAAGCTCTGTGAGGAATGGCCAGTGGACGAGACCAAACGGGGCCGGGACTTGGGCGCTTACCTGCGACAGCGGGTAGCACAGGCCTTTCGGGAGGGAGAGAATACCCAGGTGACCGGCGGGGAGGCGGCTGGGACGAGGGGAGGAAAGAACGAGGCAGGGGCGGGGCCAACTAGCGCGCTAGCAGCGGGATCTGCGCATGCGCGCGTCCTCCTTCCAGGCCGCATGTGAGCGCAGACCCCCGTTTCTCCCCAGGGGGCTACTGAGAGCTACGCCCTTTCTACTCAGCGCTCTCCCCCCGCTGCACCTTGGAATTGCCGAGGAAGCTTTTTTAAAACTCCAGATGGGCCGGGCGCGGTGGTTCACACCTATAATCCTGGCACTCTCAGAGGCGGGAGGATCGCTTGAGCCCAGGAGGTCAGCCTGGGCAACATAGTGGGACTCCGTCTCTGCAAATCAAAAAACAAACAAAAACTTAAGATACAGAATCTCTAGGGGTGGGATCTTGACCTCAGTGTTTTAAAAGCTCTCCAGGTGATTCAAGGTGCAGACAGTTGAGATCCACAACACCAGTGGCAGCTGGTGACAGCCTCAGCTTTTTGCTCCCGTGTCACGGTAACGTTACCTCATTATCTCGCAGTGTTGTGTATTGACTGAGCTAATCCCCAGTAAACTCTGCAGGTCCCGGCTAAGCGTTTGCCTTCTTCCTGGGCCCTGTAAGCCTGTGCAGCAGGTTTGGGTCCTCAGCTCACATAGCTGTGTGTGAGTAGTAGGCCTACGTTCTTGCTCTCCTCCAGGTTGGCGCTGCAGCTCTGGGATTCATTCGTTCATATAACTCGTATTTATTGAGCACCTACCATATGCCTGGAGCGGTGCTAGGGAAACAGCAGTGTTAAACAGGTGAAGTCCTGCCCGCATGAAGTTTTACATTGTAGTTCAGGACACAATAAACAAGTAGGTCTACATAAGACAGATAAGTACTGTGATCTATAGAAAATAGGGTAGCATGATAAAAGAGTAATGTTATTAGTCGGGTCTTTCTGAGGAGATGACACATAGGTAAGACCTAAGGCAAGAGGATGAGCCAGCCATGTACACTTGGCGGGAAGGACATTCCAGACACTGCGCATGCCCAAAGGCAGGAGGCAGATTGACATGTTCCAGGACAGAAAGCAAGCCAGAATGGCTGCAGGGTAGTGAGTAAGGTGGAGTTTGCTAAGGTGGAGGTCAGGAGCCAGGCACAGTAGGATATTATCTGCTCTGATTAGCTGTTAGACCTCATTGTAAGGGCAGTGAGAAGTCACTGGGGATGTTTAGTGAGGGGACTGATGTGCCCCAATTTACTTTTTTTAAGACTATTCTGGTTCTGTGTGGTGAGTGGGCTATAGGGGGCAATAACAAAAAAGCAAGGAGTCTGGAGAGAAGCCGATTATGGTACTATAAGCGAGCGATGGTGGGGGGTTGGATGAGGATGGCAGCACAGATGATGGGAGTGGCTGGATTCAGGTTATGCGCAGGTTGAGTCAGCAGGACTTGCTGATATGTGGGATGTGGGATAAAGGAAAAGAGAGGAACCAAAGATAGCACCTAGATTTTTTTTGGCCTGAGCGTCTAGGTCTAAGATGGTGCCATTTACTGAGGCAGGAATAGGTGAAGTGTAGGAAGAATATCTTGAGTTCGGTGTTAAGCAGGTTAAACCTGAGATGCCAAGTACACTGATTTCCTAGTGGCAATGTCAAGTAGGCGTGCTATATTTGAGCTTGGGGCTCGGGCAAGAGACCAGAAATGAAATGAGATCCATACACACACAGTCTGAAGAAATGACTTGCGAAACTTGGCCAAGACCTGTCAAAGAAGGAACATGGTCTTTTTTTTTTTTTTCTTTTTTTTTTTAGCTTAGCCCAAAACAGAGCCAAACCAGCCCACCTAAAGGAGCAGGAGCACGCCCAGTGGCATCATTGTGACTGGACTGCTGATTGGCTGACAGCCTGGGGAGTGTCTGGCCCAGGTTATACGATACCCAGGGCCCTCCCATTGTTCATGGTGGTCTTCACTGGCCCAAAGTGGAAAGATCTTTAAGGCAAGAATCTTATCTAGTCCCAATTCTACAAACCCCGTGAGCTTCCTAAAGCTGTACTCCCTGCATGTTTTTAGTATGAGCTTCCTGAAAATAGAGATGATGCCATTTTTATCTTTCCCCCCTCCCCTACCAGTGTCTAGCATAGTTCTTGGCCCATAAAAAACACTCAGTAAATGTCTGAATGGATAAGTAAATAATTGGTTGTGGCTCATGAGACAATTGTCTGAATATAGTTTCAGATGTAGCAGAACTAGACAAAGAGAAGTTGTGAAGAGTGAGAAAGGAATATTTGTGTGTTCTGAGTGGGGAGAATTGATTTGAGAGCTTACCATGTTTGGGGAATTTCGGGATCTATGGAAGAAGGCCATAAGCTGGCCCTCACCACCAAGGAGCTTACAGTTGGACAGTCAGAGGCTCCATCTTTGGGGAGGTGAGAGAGCATTACATTCATTTGCTTGATTGTTAGTGTAAGAGGAGCCAGCAAAGGAGGAAAGAGTTTTCTCTTTTGGAGTTGTTATCACCTAGGGAAATTGTTCCTGAGCAGTCAAAGGCCCACACAGGTTTGAGTCCCAGCTGCAGATGCAAGTCATGGCTCTGTTGATGATTCTGTAGCAGCTGATGAATGCATTCCTGGTAGAGTGAACCAGTGCATCACGATGGCAGCAGGAGCATTACTCAGGACCACTGTTGTGGTGCCTCATCCTGATGTCACCTGAGAATGCACCTGGGCTTAGTAAATCTTTGTGGTCATTTTTGAAGGGCGCAATTCCTTGCTGGAATTGAAAACACTACTGTGAGTCACTCCTACTGACACCCCCAGATCATGTATAAAGACCTTGAGAAAGCAAGGTGATTCTGGTAGGCTGTTCATTAAACTGGCAGCAGGAGGTGGGGATTAGATCCAGTTGACTGACTAGTATGGAGCTCCTCCTTGGTTATGCCGGTTGCCAGAAGACAGGACTGGAGGGGAAAGTAGCTCTGTTCAGGCCATCTTTCCATTCCTGTAGAGGAGAGAGGCAGTCAGTCCTCCTCTCAGCCTCTTGGCTTCCTTCGTCCTAATGATCACCCCGAAAGGTGCACAGTACACCTTTGCCAGCATGATCTCATTTAATCCTTAGTGCCGCTGAGTGGTAGCTGTTACTGTTCCCATTTTACAGATGAGGAAACGAATCAGAAAAACAAGACAACTCTCTGGGGGTTCTCTAGCCGTAAGAGACAAGCCAAGTGAGAAACATACCCAGCCCTCCTGGCCCTCGTGTGCATCGTCTCCTGGGTGCCTGGCCTTTCCTCAGCTGCTGTTCCAAGTTATTGTTAGAACAACCTCTTATTCCATGAACATCACACCACTTCCTTCCCCTGGTTGCCTGTTCAAACCTTTTTGGGCCATAGATAGTTTGGGCAGCAAATGGAACTCCCTGTGTTTACCCATCTATTCTTTGCCCCAGCCACTACCAGTCCAGATGGGAAGAAAGATGGTCCTGGGTGGGACACCAAGCAGAGAAAAGCTGGGTAACTAAAGGGCAAATTAATAATTCATACTCAAAATCAGAGTACAAAAACCACTGACTCCATTTATTCCACCTCAAATTGCCCTCTGGGGAGTCTCATGGTCCACCCTAAACCCACCACACGGGGAGGTAGTGGTGGGAGCAGGAACACACGTAACTCCTGTTACACCCCATATCCTATTGTGTAGTTTTAAAAAGTCAGTGTTTATGGGCTTTGCCCCTTTTGAATACAGTTTGTCTAAGAACACGTGTTTCCTACAGCGCTGAGAGCTTAATAAAAGAATTGCAACATGGGGGAAGGTGGCACAACAACTGTAATTGTTGACTTAACAACAGGGAAGGGAGCAGATCTTTCTAATGAGTTCATTAGGTGCTTCCTAAAAGATCCCAGACTGCACACCAGCACCCACTTATGTAGCATGAGTTGCAACTCCGAGGGGTGGCCTGGAAGAGCTGCTGCCCAGGAAGGGGCTCGCCCACCAGGGAGTTCTAATTGTATTGTATCCAAGTTTAAGTATAATAATATTGGCCCAGTTTGAAAGAAGTTAAACTTTTTCTTGAGTTTCTAATAATGTAAATGATATTTCCACCTTCTCAGAGGATAATTCAAAGGTTTTTTTATGATTCCGTTTTGTCAGTCATCCAGTTGAGGCCTGGTCCTTGGCATTCCTCAGCGTGGCAGGGAGCTAGCTCCCAAGCCACCTGGCATATGCTGGCCACCATGAAGCCATCTCAACGTTGCTCGCCCCCACTTGTGAGCCCCCTGAAGTCATATTTTTGAAGAGTGTCCTAAGAGCAGTTTATCCTATTTTTAGTTATATATTGAGCCCATCTAAAACCTGGAGTTGTAAGGAGAATCATCTCTAAGAGGGAATGCAAACATCTCCATCTTTTTTTCTCTTCCAATTCTGAATGGCGCCAGTGTGAGCTAGGGTAGTATTCACACCAAGGGGTGGCGTTTATCTCTGCATATGTAAAGCTGCAGTCCTCCTCCTGAAGGGATAAATTCTTAGCCACTTTTGGTGGGTCACTACTTTATTCAAAGATCTCTGGGGTCTGCCTGTTGCCTCCTGGACAGGTGGCAGGCAATTTTGTGAGACCTGCAGTGCCTCTGATCCTTGGTCCCAGCCTGTGTTTCCAGCCTTGCCTCTCACCACCCCAACACGAGCCCCAGGCTAGCAAGGGTGTCTTCTCATGGTCTCCCAAATTGTCCATGGTACAAGCGATTCTGATCCTTTGAGACTTAAGTGCACTGTGGATCACCATACCCCTACAACCTCCAAAAACCCAAACACAGAGTTTGTCAAGAATTTGGTGGCTTCCCAGGCTCTTGGAGCCCTCCCTGGGTTCCCCTTAAAAGCTCTGCCTGCCTAAAACACCCTTGTCCTGTGTCTCTTCATGCTTCATCCTCCCAGTCATTTCTGGTCCCTGTGTCACTCATGCCCAGGTCGGCACTCCTCACTCTGTGCACTGTCGCTGCAGTGAAACTTAGCCCTTCCTTGCCATACCTCCCCGTCAGCACAGCCTGGTGCCCAGCTCCCACCTCAGCTCTCCTGCGGCGGCCCGTGCTTCACAGCTCTGGCTCTCACTTGCATGCTGCCCCGGGCAGGGTTGGTTTCTAATTCATGTGTATCTTGTCTCTGCAGTGTGCCTGCCAGCTTCTCCACAGCCGGCCTGGGTCGCCTTCTTTATGGTCCCTCACAGTCCCCTAGTGGGGCACTCTCTCTATAGTAGGTGCTCAAGAAATACATTTTCAACTCAATTGAAGGGAATAGGCTCCCATAACAGAATGAACTCATTTCAGAAGTTCATTACCAAGTCTTGAAAGCCTTTTTTATAGATCCTCCTGGACTGAATCCAGCTCTACCTTAATTAGCAAAGCAATTTGCAACACCCTTTCCCAAAAGTGCTTATGCGTCCCTTTGTGTGACTAGAATAGGGGCCGCTGTACCAATTGCTGTCACCACCCAAAATTCAATTTGGAAAATCGAAATCAGTGCCTGCGGCACCGATGTAGATTTGTATGTATAAAAGTTTAATATGGTAAAGAGAAATTTACTGACGACTGAGCAGGGGAAATGCAAAAGGAGCAAAAATAGGGCTATAAAGGACACTCGTCAGATGAACATCTATTTTATTCACATTTGGGGAGCAGTGCTGAATTTTTCATAATGTCCCCACTGCTGCCTTTTTCAAACCCAGCACTGCTATTAGTCCTAAAACGTCCATGATCTCATTAGGTATGAATGCAAAATCAGGTAATTTAAAGCTTGTATTAAGAATATTTCTAAAAATGCACAGTCCATTTCATCAGGAAAACTGCATTTCAGAACTCAGGAATGTTAGTGCTGGAGTCTGTGAATAAAGTGTAAGCTATAGGAACGTGGTGAGGCTTCTGGAATTTGACAGATGTCTCCACTGACATCCTTTTAAGGATGACTTTTTTAATTGCTGAGCTTGAGTTATCTGTGGCTAGGAACCCAGCATTGATCAAGGCTTCATCACTCCTCAGGCAGTAAGAACTTGCTAGAAATGGGTATATCTCAAACTCCTGTCACCTCACTGAGCTGCTTTTACAGCCTCAGACACCTTCTGACCTCAAACAGGAAACTGGGTGGCAAGTCTGTTTTAGGACTCAGGTGTTTGGTTTTCTTTCTCGGATTACAATTGAGTCCAGGACTTCTGGGAACTCTCTAGGAGACTATCTCTTTCACACAGAGGAAGCTTAAGAAGTGAGAGTACCTGAGGGTCACTTTGCTTTTTGCACTTAAACTTTGTGCACTTTTCTCTTACAGGAGCAGCACTCTGCAAGGGTCACCCATCCCTTGTGCCCCTCCTGTCTGTCCTGCTGCCTATCAGAGATGGGACTAGGTGGCAAGGAAGACAGCACTTTATAGCACACCTGCTTGAGGGTATGATACAAGGTTGCTGAGCAGCCTACTGGTGACTTCTCACTGCTAGAGAGTTGGAGCAGGAACTTGAGTTAACAAGGTGTTTGAGGGTGAGGATCTGGTTGGAATGCAGGTTTATCAGGAAGCAGTGTTAGGAGCCCAGGAGAGAGGCAGAGGCTATGGGAGGAAGGCAAATCAGCGTGTGGACTCCTTTCCTAAGAGCTTAGTTGGGAAGGTGGTGGGGATGGTGGCAGGATGGGAGGGTCCAGATAAGCGGCCATCAGGTGAAGACCGGGTACAGCAGACAGCTGCTCTCTTGACAGACCATGGAGTGCTCAGTGACCGCTGAGAGCCACCAGCGTCAGTCAGGAGTGAAGCCTCAGCAGTTTCTCATCCGTCCTCACTTCCGTTTCCAGCGCCATCATCTGCAGTGCACACCAGCCATGCTGATCCACTGATAACATGCTGACCCATTCCCTGGGCACGGGCTCCACCTGGTCCTGTGTCTGGAGTGCCCCCACTGCCTTGCTGGTACATGCACCCATCCTCAGCCGCTCGTTCTCTAGCACTTCCTGCCTGGCCCCGCAGGCCCATAGCACCTCGTACATGCCCCTTGGTTCCATTCTCACCAGGGTGGTCCTAAACCGTTCTGTCCTTTCCCCTCTTACTTTGTGAGACAGGGGCCTGTGTTTACTACAACTCTTTACTACTAATAACTGTAAGAAAAACTAATCACTCACATTTATCAGTGTTCCAGGCCTGGAATTCAGAGCAGCCCAAGCATTACCTCATTTATCCTCACACCACCCTGGGAAGTAGGGGCTATTATTATATTTTCTTTTAAAAGAAAGGTTAAGTTGGCCAGTATGCTTCCAAAATGTTCAATGCATGAAAGACAAAGGCCGAGGAACTGTCCCGGATTAAAAGAGACTAAAAGATACATGACTGTTACATGCAGCAGGACATCCTGTTTTTCCTTAGATTATTATTGACACAATTGACAGAATTGGAATATGGACTGTGCATTAGATAATAATGTTGTATCGATGTTAAGTGGCCTGAATTTGATCACTGAACTGTGGTTATATAAGAGAATGTTCTTCTTAGGAAATGCACAATGAAATATGGGGTGAAGGGGCATTATGCTCCTACTTTCAAGTGGATCAGAAGAAAGATACGTATGTACAGATACAGAGAAAGATAAACTGGCAACTTTTTTTTTTTTAAGTGTGTTTCGTGGGGGAAGAGTGAATGGTTTGCCTGACATCACATAGCTGATAAGGGATGGTGCCAGGATTCAACCCAGGTAGTTTGACTCCATTGCTCCCTACAGCCTTGGAGGTACTCATTCACCCAAGCATCCCCTGCTCATAGATGGGCCAAGCATGCTCTAGGGTCTCAGTGAATATCTGTTAAATTTATAAGTGAGCACACTTTGGGAGGCCGAGGCGGGCAAATCACAAGGTCAGAAGTTCGAAAGCCTGTCTCTTCTAAAAATACACAAAATTAACTGGGTGTAGTGGTGGGTGCCTGTAATCCTAGCTACTTGGGAGGCTGAGGCAGAAGAATCACTTGAACCCGGGAGGCGGAGGTTGCAGTGAGCTGAGATCGCACTACTGCACTCCAGCGTTAGCTTTTGGCTATGCATGCCCTGCTGAAGAAATATTCCAGATGTGTTCGTCCAGATGTGTGCAGAAGTCCATTCTAGCGGGACTTTCCCTGGAAGAGCTGTCCGGCAGCAGGGAGGCACCAGCCTCATCCTTTTCCATTCATTCTGTCCCCTCAGATAATGACTTTGATGATTATTCAGCAAACACTGGCCACCTCTTCAGGCCATACTCCTTCCTCTTCTGATGTATCCAGCTGTTCTCATGATGAGTAGCCTGAACCCAGGAATGGGTCAGGTAGAACTAAATGATGGATTGTCTTTTTCGTTTGCTGTAAAGTAGGGACCTCATTTGACATGCACAGAGAGGCAGCAGTGGAGCTGCCTATTAAACTCCTTTACGACTGATTTATTTATGCTCTGCCTTCTCCAAGGAAGGATTTAAGTTAGGAAAAAATCCATCATTTGAATTTTGGGGGAAAAAAATATAAAAGAGAAAGTTTTGTTCTGGGGAGCTTTTCAAAATTCTTGGCAGAAAAATTTCAAGAATTATACATAAGTAATAGCAAGGACAGAGTAAAGGGAAAGTTCGAACTAGAGGGAAGAGACCACGCCTCCTCTGTATGCCGCCTGTCTTCCTGACCACGCCTCCTCTGTATGCTGTCTGTCTTCCTGACCACGCCTCCTCTATGCTGTCTGTCTTCCTGACCACACCTCCTCTGTATGCTGCGTCTTCCAGAGAATGCCCATCAGGGGCATCGCTGTCTCTGGCACCAGAGAATTTATTTATATCCCCCTTTCTATGGCAATGCCTCAGGGTTCTGGGCCATCTCCTTTCTAGCAGGACCTAACTGTGGTCCCATCTTGGTTCTCCTCAGTTTACCCATTTTATCTTAAATGTTGCCGCCTTCATGTTTCTTCCCTTCTTGTAGAGTTTCAGCAGCTCCCCACTTATCACAGATGAAAACTCAGGTGATTTTTTTTTTTTTTTGCCTTTGCTAAAAGATTCTGTTGGTCTGAGGCTGGGCATGGTGGCTCACGCCTATAACCCCAGCACTGGGAGGCTGAGGCAGGCAGATCACTTAAGGTCAGGAGTTCGAAACCAGCCTGGCCAACATGGTGAAACCCTGTCTCTACTAAAAAATACAGAAATTAGCTGAGTGTGGTGGCACATGCCTTTAATCCCAGCTACTCGGGAGGCTGAGGCTGGAGAATTACTTGAACCCAGGAGGCGGAGGTTGCAATGAGCCAAGATTGTGCCACTGCACTCTAGCCTGGGCAATAGAGTAAGACTCTGTCTCAAAAAAAGAAAAAAGAAGAAAAAGAATCTACTGGTCTGGCCTGAAGCATCCCAGAGGATTCCTGCCTCCTCCTCCTTGCTGACAGCATCTCCTCCCCCAGGAAGGCCTGCCCTTCTCCCTTCTGCTCGCTGACCCCTGTGCTTCTTTCAGAACCTAGCGTCGTCTCACTTCCATCATGCACTGACCACTTGAGCATGTGGGGACTCCCCCACTGAGTCCCTGTAGCCCACTCTGCCCAGCACCCCCTTTGTTAGGCACGCCTTTGCAACCTTACATTTCTATTGTGGCATCTCCCACTGCAGCTGGTGTCGTGGCTCACAAGTCACAGATGCTCCACAAATGCTTGTTTGCTGATTAATCTGATTTTTCTGCAGGTTGGGGAGTTGATGAGGCAGAGCTATGCCTCCAAAAAGTAGTTTCTAATAGCAGAGCTATAGTCCAGGTTTGCTTCCCGCAGAGTGGAGAAGCCAGTGCTATCTGCAGGCCTGCTTCATGTGAATGCCTTCTTAAGTATGGTCTTTCCTCGAGGTACAGACACTGTGGGAGGCAGAACTCCTTTGCTCACCTCCTTGGGGGTTCTTTGCTTTTCAGGTTGCAGAGCCTGAGGCCTGTGATCAGATGTACGAGAGCTTAGCGCGACTCCATTCAAACTACTACAAACACAAGGTGAGTGGGCCACAGTCTTTTATATCCCCAGCTTTCTGACAGGACAACTAATAAGAATGAGTGAAAATCTGATTATGTAATGTTTTGTAAAGAATTGGCTTTGCTGCTTTCAAATGAAACCAGTAATTTCAACCAAGCCAACAGAGGTGCCTGGTAGAGGCTTTTACACCACCTAAATAAAAGCTGTTTAAAATTGTGAATACAGGGAAAAGGGAAGAAACAAAACCAATTATGAATAGAAGCCATGTATTTGATATGCCAGTGTGTGCTCCTGGGAGTGTCTGACAGCCATTGGATTTATACCAATTTTCTCATTCACTCTGATGGAACTGACACCTCCCCACACTCTGGTGATAAAGGTGGGATGATTGGGAAAGTGCTGTCCTTTCCGGAGCTGGGCCCCAACGTGATTACTGTCAAATTCCATTTAGAGTGGTTTTTCCCATACTTGAAAAATGTGTTCAGTAACTCCACAAACGTGGCCATATGCCTATGTGGAAGATGGATTTTTTCTAAATCCTCCCTACTAACATGTGATCCATGAGCAGCAGCATGGGCATCACCTGGGAGCTGGTTAGAAAAGCAAATCGGGGGCCCCACCCATACCTGCGTTTTCCAGGGAGGACTCATGGGTACATTAAAGTTGGAGCTGCCTGCTGGAGACTGTACTGGTTCTTGTGAGGCCAAGTCTTAACCTCAAGGTGGCGCTGCTCTTCTTGCTAGGCCTGGCCTCTGGTTGCCGAGGGCCCAGATGAAATGCAGTCAGAGAGCAGGGCTTGTGTACTGATCTCTCTCCTCCCTTCACTTCCTTTCTGCCCCGGTGACCAGTACCCTCGCCCCAGAGACACCAGCTTCAGTGGCCTGTCGTTGGAAGAGTACAAGCTGATCCTGTCCACAGGTAATGAAAGCACAGCTGCCTTTTCTCATTGGTTTGCAAATGACTCTGAGTTTGAGTGGCCAAGGGGAATTGTCTAAGAAGGCAGCTTTGCTTGATGGAAAGTCTTGTAGAACGGCCCAGAGGAAATTCTGAAGCTACAGGGCTCATGCATTTTGACCATATACTGTGGAGAAGGTCAAAGGCGTTATTTAAAAAAGAAAATCTATCTTTAGTGCTTTTAAATTCAAGGTTGGGCAGCAGGGAACAGGGGAATACATATTTGCCAAATGGAAGTAGTTGAAATCAGGATGGAAGGAAAATTATTTTATTTTTATGGTCCTAAGGGGGCTTTATAAACAATGAAGGTTTTAATTAAAACAAAAAACCATTCAATAAACGTGTTTGGGGATATCCGCCTAAGAGTTATCTGACCCAGGGGACGTGGTCTGTGGGTTAGATATGAGTTGAACTAGGTATGTTTTAGAGTCATTGATAGACTCTGATTAACAAGAAAGGAAACATCCTGCCAAGCCTATCCTTTCCTTAATTCCCTATCTCCATTGTCCCTAAGGAGGGGGGCCAGAGAGCCAGGGCTGAAGTAGGCAGGTACTGGAAAATAACTATTTTTGTTGCCAAGTATATTATATACAAAAATAGGCTAACCTTTTCTGGAAGGGCATGGCCCTGACACATTTCCTTCTGGTATTCTAGAAATATGTCTTTCCTCTTCTTCTGGCAGCCTTCAGCAACTTAGTTTTGAGGATTTGGGCTTCTAGAAAATCATCTTCTGAGATTAAAACCTGGTGGTGTCACCTGCTATTACATGTCAACTCTAACCCTGTTTTTATTCCAGTACTCTCTGGGAAAATGGGTGAAGATATTTTGGCCAGGCAAAATCACTTTATTGGCAATTTTTTTTTAATGTGTAAATTTACTCCTCTATCCCTGGGTCCATCTAATTAGCAGCATTGATGCACATTATTGTGAGGGCCCTGGACAGTTTGAGCAAAGTTTGAACTTGAAATGCGGGTGGAAATAAGTTCCAGAGGCCCTGCTTCTGCCCTCTATGTTGTTCACCTCAGGGCAGCCTCTGCAAGTGGAAAACAGGCAGCAACGAAGGCTAGGAGATAGTCCCGCCATTGGTCCACGCTGCAGCTTGTTCTGGCTGCAAGTTTAGTCCCAGGAAATTTGCTGAGAATTTGTTTTCACAGCAAGCCTCGTATTTTTGTTGCAAATTGTGTGGCGTAAGCTTACCAAATGTTTCCTCTGACAGGACAAGAAAAGACCTGCAGCACCTTGTAGCGAGAGGCTTTGAGGGCCTGGCGAGTCTGAAATGTGCTGTGTTCTGGGTCACGTGTGTGTCCACCCTGGGACTGGTGTCATGGAAAGCACCTAAGGGAGGCCTCAGGGCTTGGAGATAGACAGTGTGCCTCAGTGTCCACCTGGACACTGGAAACGTGGACTTCCGGAAAAGCGCCAGAGCAGGGGCTTTTTTCTGTCACCTTTCTTGGTCAGAAAAGATACTCTTTTCTCCGGTAGTTTTGTTAGCGTGAAAATTCAGGCCGGGCAAGCAAAACAATATTATAAGAATATCTAAAATTTAACATATACGTAAAATTAGATTTCATGGAACATTAGCCCTAGAGACTTCAGAAAAATGGTTTCGTCCTGGGGGTGATTTTGCCTCCCAGGGGACATGTGGCAATCTCTGGAGACATTTTTAGTTGTCACAACTGGTGGTGGGGGCAGCGGTGCTACTGGCATTAGTGGGTAGAGGCCGGGATACTTCAAAACAGCCTTCGGTGATGCACAGGCCAACCCACAACGAAAAATTATCTGGCCCAAAGTGTTGGTAGTGCCAAGGCCAAGAAACCCTGCTTTGGTTCCTGGGTGTGGGGACGTGTATTTTCTTAAACAAAAGCCCCTCCCACCCGCATTGTGGTGGAGATGGCTGCCTTTTCATTGAGTGCAGGCTGTGTGCCAAGCAACTTACTTCCATGATTTTCTTTAATCCTTACAACTTTGGAGGTACATGTTTTTTTTCTTTCTTTCTTTCTTTTTCACCTCTCCCCAAGTTGTCTGCAGATGTGTGTTTTTATCTTCATTTTACAGATGAGGAACCCGAAGTATAGAGGGTTGAGTCATGTGCTTGAGGGGACCCACAGTGGGAGACGATGGGCTGGGATTCAGGCCTAAGTCCATCCCTCTCTCAGTGCCTGCTTAATTCCACAGCATGTGCTGGACCTGCACGCCAGGATTCAAATCCCTGCTCCACTTCCCAGCTGTGCAAACTGAGCAAGTTACTTCACCGCCTCCTGCCTCAGTTTCCACACCTGAAAATGAGACAGGCCTGTGTGGAGCAGGCCAAATTTTGCGATGGACCATCTGGGCCTGTGGGTTGCACAGCAGACAGCGCAGGGCCATTTATTTGCCCTCGTATGGAGCAGGGCAACGAGCAGCACACCCTGCTTTGATGCCAAGGGTGAGGAGAGGGCAAGAAACCACTGAGAGCGTGCTGGGCACACAGCCTGGCACACAGTGCTCAGTCACCGCGAGTGGTCACTTCTGTTACCCTGTTTGATCTGCTCCTCAGAAGCTGGGTCTACACTTCCCTTTTTCAGGAACACACTGTGTGAAAAGCAAGGCATGCTTGTGTCGGGAAAGCCCCATGGGTCCAATCTGCGTCATCAAGTTTTAGACTTGTCTCTCTCTTTTTGTCTTTCCCTTTTGCAGACACCTTGGAAGAGTTTAAGGAAATGGATAAAAGCATGTGGAAGAAACTGCAGGAGAAGTTTTCCTCCAAGGGTCCTGAGGAGGATCATAAGGCCTGAGCTCAGGCCTTACCTCGCCCACATATCTAGGTGTGGAGTCTTGTACATTGCCATCGTCAATAAAACTGCCCCAGTTTCCCTGTGACCTTACGGTTTGGGAATCTCCTCTAGCCTTCCCAGAAAGGAAGGCTCTAAAGAAAGTTTCAGCCTCAGAAGGGATGGCGATTGGGCTGTCTGCTGTGACTGCTGCTCAGGGGAGGGAAATCTCCTGGGGAGAGGAAATGCAGGTTTCCCTCTGGGCCTGACAAGGGAAGGTAATGGGGCCTCCGCACAAGGTGCTTCCTGCAGGACCACAGGAGCCCCCGCCCCTCCGGCAGGGGTCTGGTGCCTCCTGGCAAGATACTTGGGCTCCCTTTTGTTGTAGGAGCTCCTGGGAGGAAGCCAAAAATAGCAGTAAATACTGAAAAGGGCATCCTGTTGCAAACAGAAAGCATCAGGGAAGTGTGAGGCCCAGAGAGGCAAAAAGCCTGCTTGGCCCTCATCCCCACTGACTCAGAGGACAAACCTCAGGCCTCTGTCCCTGACCTTGCAAAAATGCACACTGCCCAGTTGGCTTAAGGGACAGGGAAGCTATAGACAGGCCTTGGCCAGGCGGGGCCTCAGCTGCAGTTGGCTTCAGCATTGTGGGCAGGTTCTGTAGGTGGCCACAAGTCAGAGGCCCTGCTGGCTGAGGACACACACAGGGTCACCTCATTATTCCATGGAACTTTGGCTCTTACTGATAGACACATTCACTTTCCTAGTTGAGCATTCTTCTGTCTGGAACCGTGAGGGACCAGGCTGGGCCCACAGCGCCCCTGGTGGGTACAAAGTAGAAGTGGGTTCTCAACCTCGTCTGTGTCTAGACTCCTCAGGATGTTCTGAAATGCATAAAATAAAATCGACAGGACTGCAGTAGAAACTAGTTATGCCTAAATGCAGTTCTGGGTAGGGAGATCTCAGGGGAGGACCCCTGAGACACGATGTCACTCAGTGCATCTCCTGAGAGCCTGAGAAGAGGCCAGGCCAGCAGGGAGGGACTCTTGTTCCTGCCTTCTGCCAGTATGTCCTGTTAATCCCCACAGCCCCTGGGGGAGTGCAGGAAACACATCCCTTTTTAACGGACTAGACTTCTATTAATTTATTTAAGGCAGTTAACATTAGTTCTCAGGCCAAAGGATTTGTAAAACATTACACCAAAAGGAGAAAAACAAGCGGTCATGAAACAGCCATGCGAACGCGCTCAGCCCTTGTTTGCCTGGGCGTACAACTCTCCCCCAGGAAGCCTGGGAAGAGGCAGGTCCCAGGAGCAAGATCGTCCATCATGGAGTCATCAGGCCACCTACAGCCATGCCAGGGTGGCATGGACACGACAGTGAGGTCTGCACTGGCTACAGCAGATCTGAGGCACGGAGGGAGCTGTACAGCCATGGGCAGGGCTGAGCACAGCACCCTTGGAATAAGTTAAATAACAAAGCCCTAAAATCACTAGTAACAGCATTACTGCCACCTCCCCAGAGGCCGGCAGCAGCCAAAATGTAGTGCTTGGAGATAAAGGGGTGACCCCACTTTTAACTACCCATGAGGAGGACTACAAAGAGTTGTCAGTTACTGCTTTAAGGGACAAAGGTCTCTAGGTAGGATTTGTCTTCTGCTAAGGCATTACGGTAAAATGAGTCCCAGTGAACTTTCAAGTCTTTTTTTTTAAGGGCTCTAAGCAGGTCTGTGAGCTCTGAGGCTCCCCCTCCATGCTGTTGAAAGCCTAGGTGGGTGTCGGGGTGTCTGGCAGAGTGGGAGTGGAGGCTGGCCAGCTGGCTGGGCCACCCAACCCGGGGGAGGGGCCAGTGTTCTTCACAATCGCAGTCTCCAGTGATGAGCATCCCGTTGGGGCCTTCAGTGGCTCTTCTCAGCGGCTCATGCAGTTCTGGACATCCACAAAGCCTAGGCGTTGCCTGCGTTTCCGCTGCTCTGTCATCTAGGGTTAAGCAGATGCCAACAGGCCCGGTCAGGCCGCCTGGCACCTTCTCTCCATGGGTGCTGTGGAAGGGCTTGGCGCCCATCTTCCTCTGTGGGCCCAGCTGCTATTCAGCACTGGCGGTGGGCCAGGGCCCCTCGGGGTGCTTTAAGGATGTCGATGTCAGCACCAAACCCTTGTTCTCAATTAGCATGTCACAAACCCCGGATCTGATGCAGCTGGGAAACCAGCCCACTAACAGGCTGCCTCATCTTCATGCAGGCACTGCCAGATGCAGAGGAGGATGTCTAGGCAAGAGGACCTTAAACTCAGGAATCCCCTCCAAGGACCTACCTGGCAGCTGCAAGAGGAAGGGGATGAGACAGAGGGCCCCACCACCCTGTACTAAGTTTCCACTTGGCCTTGTCTTTAACGGCCCAAGGCAGGGGTTATCAACCCCAGTCTGACTTGCCATGTAGGGGAGAGTGGGTTTGGAACCTACCTTCTCATCCAGGACCAGAGGCCAGTGGGGAAGAGGGTGGGGCAGGAAGGATGAAGGCAGGCAGGGGCTGCCCAGGGATAGAGCCCAGGGTGGGCCTGGGATCAAGCAGGGTGCACACCTGCTCCTTGAGCTCGTTGAGCTGGGCAGTGAGGTGGGACACCAGCTTCATGGTGGAGTTGAGCTTGTCCTGGAGAATCCGAATCTCATTCTGCTCCCCGTCGCCCTCGTTGCTGACAAGGGACATGGCCCGCATCCGGGGGAACCAGTCCAGGTTCTTGTTCTGAAAAACATCACCAGTGGGTGAGCAGGCATGGGCCCAGCCCAGAAAGGCCTCATTTAGAGTAATGTGGGGGGAGGCTTCTGCCACACCCTTGACAAAATTACTCGTCAGGGATGTGTCATGGGAAAATCTGAATTGACCTGGTCCTCCCTGGGGCCAGAGTGAGCTGGCAGTCAACCCTCTGTCAACCCTCTGCCACCGAGACAGGCTGACTTCCGTTAGACAGCGTCGGCAGCTGAGTTTGAGTCCTTCGCTGGTATCAGCACCATCTGTTTACTCTCATAACACCCCCTGAGAGGTGGAGGAAGGCCTCTGCACCCAGACAGACCCTGGATCTCCTTCCTTCCTTCCTCCCGCCCGCCTGCCTGACAAGCACGCCCCACGCCCCGGGAAGACACAAGTCAGACAGATGGCAAACGGAGGGAGCGGGAGGCTCCGCTGAGGAAAGCTGGCATCTGACACGTGTCTGGGAGGCAAAGCCACGTTTCCCAGGACAGAGGAGTGGGGAGGGAGGGGCACCAAGCAGTTCTCGGCTTCCTTGTTGTGAGCTGTGAATTCTCAGACCAGCAGATAAACCTGTACACAAAGATCAGCTCGAAATACAGACTTAAATGACAAAGAATTCCTTCTTTATGATTCATTGTCTTCACTCCATTATTACAGACATTGGACAGATGATATTTAAAGTTTTTCCAGGCTCCCCTTCAGCCCAGGACCATCTAATTCAGACTTTTTAGGAAGCAGCCTGCCTTCCCACCAAGCTAGAAACACTCCCTGAGAGTGGCCCACAGATCACTGGCCAAGGCAGGATCTCCCCGACTCCACCCCGCCTCAGCATCACTGCACCACAGGCCCAGGGATACTACACGCGTTCTTTGGGGCTGATGGGTTTGCTGTGGGATTTTTCCTGACACCCAGAAGTGGGAGGAGGCCCCTCCGCAGCAGCGGGCCCCCGGCAGGGCCCCCGTGCAGCCCGGAGCTGCTTCCAGCTGCTGCTCCTCACCCTGCTGACCTTTCAGCAAGTGTCTGCAGCTGTCCGAGCCCCTCCCCTGGCCTCCCAGGGCCGACAGACAGATGTGGCCACTCCTCGCCAGAGCCCAGGGTACTCAGAAGCCAAAGCCATGAGGCCTCTGGTGCACAGTGATGTTGACTCGAGAATGGCTGGCTGGTTTGGGCCCACAGGCCCGGCGCAGACCCTGCTCACACCTTGATCATCTGGGCCACGTAGCTCTCGGGGCCCGTGTAGTCGGTCTTGTTCTTCACGCGGACCAGGACAATGAAGTACAAGTAGTTCCACATGTTGTGCTCCAGCTTGATGTGTTCCTCAAATGACACCGTCTTGTTATCAAACTTGTCCCTCTCCAGACCTGAGGGTGCAGAGGGCGGGAATGAAACCATCAGCCATCAAGAGCCACTGCAGGGCCACCTGCTGGAGGGGACCCAGCTTGGGGGCGGGGAGGCATTTATTCTCGGGATGAGCGCTTCCAACAGCTTGCTCTGGGCTATTTGGGTCACTTCTATTTGAAGCAGGAGCCACTTAGCGGAGATCCTGCCCTGCCGCAGCTGCAGCCCTACCGCAGCGGAAACCGAGGACTCTGGGAGTAAACGCCAGAATTCCCCGAACTCAGGGGAAGCATGAATGGCTGAATAAGCGAGGTCCTACAGGCCATACAGGTGACACCTGCCTGAGCCCGAGGTGGCTGGTGAGGGGACTAGCACTTCATTTCAGGGGTGGGAAAAGCACTGGTGGGAAAAGACTAGAAGCTCCAGGCACTGCCTGGGCTCGTGTCCTCGCCTAGAAACCCCAGGGGTTTACAGGGATGGCCCTGTCTCGCTCCCTTCTGACTCCAAGTTCAGGCAGGGTCATGTTCTCCCCAGTTCTGGGATGAGCAAATGCATCAAATCATCAGCCCCAGGGCAGGATTCCCCAGGGCAGGAGGGGCCAAACCGCCACTGCCGCTGGCGTCAGATGATGTCCCAGCCCCGCTGTGGCCTCCGCAGAGCAGGAAGCAACTCTCACCACAGATGAAGCATGTCGTCTTGAGAATCTCCTCCTTCTTCTGCTTCTCACTACGCAGGTCAGCGAAGGTGTCGATGATTACCCCAAAGATGAGGTTCAGCACAATGATGATGACGATGAAGAAGAACAGGAGGTCATAGACCACTCGCGCTGGGAAGAGAGACTCCTGCGGGGGGTGAGGCAGGGAGGCTGGGCCCGGTGGTCCCCACATTCACCCGGGCAAGACAGGACTCAGGTGGGGGCCAGGGCTGTGATATTGGGGACCCCAGCAGAAGGAAATGAGGGCCTCTGGCTTGGGGGCTGTCAGATAGCAGAGTGGACCCAACCTGGCTCCAGAGCAAGAATTGCAA